CTTTACAATACTCAACATTGAGTATTTCGTTCCATAAAATAGAATAAATCTCCTTGGAGAACTCCTTCCAAACTTAGATTGATCTTACCTCCTGTGCAGCCGCAGCTTTCTTCCCACAGCACTCTGAGCATCCCTTTGATAAAGAGAGGAAGCTGGTATCAAATACCAGGATTTTCATGTTCCTTTGCTCCAGACCTTCTAGGAGCTTCCAGGAGCTTCCTGGGAGCAGGAATAACATGCAGTTGTTAGTTGTCGTCTGCACCTGGCACTCAGACAGCATCAGGTGGGCAGTGTGTGTGACAGCTTTCGTGACTGAGTGGGTGGCCTTCTGGGTACATTAGAGATGCTGTGGGCACATAGAGAGAGCTCTGTGTCCTCCCAGAGCCAGAAGAAATGGGAAAAACTGTCCACCAGCAAAGCAACTACCTAGCTTTGCTCTGCTCACAGGATAACACTAGCCATGTCCTCTCATTACTTTGTCTTCATATTTTTATTGTAAACTAGGGAGGTGCTCATAAGCACTCAAGTACAGCCATTCTGACAGCTTTGTCTGTGCTTCCCATTTGATCCCTTTACAGGGTCTTGCATATGTTGTCCAGGCAGGTCTCAAATGGATGGGCCCAAGTTATCCCCCTGCCTTAGCCTCTTGAGTAGCTGGGATTATGGGTACTTCATTATTCTTATTAAAAGATACTTTTTTACATCCTAAAGTTTTATATCATTCTTCTAAATGTAACTTTCAATGATTTTCAGTTTTAAAAAGCTTAATGGCAGAGGGCTTACCTAGTATGTGCAAGGCCCTGGGTTCAATTCCCAGCACCACAAAAAAAAATAATAATTATTATTATTATTATAAAGCTTAAGAGTACCTATAGAATATTGTGGGCATACCAGTGCTAATTCCCTTATTGTGGGGGCAGTTAGTTGCCTCTCCACTTAAGCCATTAGTAGTAGTAGTAGTAGTAGTAGTAGTAGTAGTACTGGGGATTGAACCCAGGGTACACTACCACTGAGTTACATTCCCAGTTCTTTTTATTTTCAATTTGGAGGTAGGGTTTCATTAAGTTGCTCAGTCTGCCCTTGAATTGTGATCCTCCTTCCTCAACTTCCCAAGCAATTGGTATTACAGGCTTGTGCCACCATGTCCAACTATTATAATTAAATAATTGCTATTATTTGTAACCCTGTCATGAGTATGATTTTTCCCCTTGCATTTCTGGGGATGGAACACAGGGCCTTAGCCATGCTAGGCAAGGGCCCTTCCACTGAGCTATATCTCACCCCTGTGACAAGCATCTTTGTGCCTTGGTTGTTTGGAGATCCTGAGTCAAGGAGCATAGATCTTTGGAAGGTTCTTGACAAGTTGTGCCCTGCACAAGGCCTGGACCAATGTACACTGTCTCCACTGTTGTCTTCGGGCAGCTGTATCCCCATCAGCTTTCAGCCATGTGCCTTTCCTGGTAATGAGGGAAACATGGGTCTTAAGACCTCATACCTAAGTATCAAAGCTGATGATTTTTTATCAAAGTGGCCACTTTCCAACTCTAGAGTTTAATCTCTTTCCCAACCTGCAGGAAAAATCCCAGCCCTTGGAGAACCGCTGGCTGAAGTATCTAGACAAGGGCAGCCCAGAGCAGGAGCCAGAAGGAGTATGTTTCCACACACAGCCCTCATCCAACCCAGAGCATCTAGGCCCTCCCTTCAATCAAGCCCTGCCCAGAAAAAGGTGCCAAGTGGGTCTGTAATCCAGAAGGAATGATGAGCTGCTTCTAGTTGTTGGCCAAAGTAGGAGCAGCCCAAGTGTCATATGCCAGTGGGCAGGAAAGCTGGGGGATAGCCATCACTGCCAGCCCCCTCTGTCCCTGGGTACTGCCACAAGGAGATGAGGACTCGGAGGACACTGGCATGGGCAACCTGTATGCTGAGTGTCTCAGACTATACAGAAATTGGAGAGAATCATTAAGGGCAAGGTTGACAAAGTGAACTGTGGCCAGAATGACCAATGTGCCTGGGATCTTGGAAGCAAAGACCTCAGACTTTCAGGGTTTCTCTTCCTCTAAATTTCCTCTGTTTCAGTGAGTGTTCTAGAAGTCGCTTTAGGCTAAGCACTGAGGATGGCTTCTCAGGGCAGGTGCTTTCAGGAGGTAGATTCTAGTTTCAGATAAGATCATTCTAACAAGAAGATATAGGGCAGAAAAATGGACTGCCTGGACTGTTGCTGGGCAGCCACCTGGGAAGCTGTAAGGGATGGGGTTCCTCCCTAGCCTGGGTCAGGCCAAATGACCATGGAGTTAGGCTCTGGGGAAACTGGTTGTTGACAGCACATGATAGCACTTTCTCTGCCAGGAAATGGAGCCAGAGCACAGACCACCCTCCTCAGAGCTTTGTTGTCCAGGATTCAGATGATGCTGAAGTCACCTTGGAATCCCAGGAGGTCAGTGATGAAGAATAATATTTCTCTTCTGATCCATCATCACTGAGCTTACATAGGAGAGAGAGAGCATGTGCGTGTGCACACACACACACACACACACAGATTAAACACAGGGCCTTGGGCATGCTAACCATCTCTACCACTCAGCAGATCTACCCGTGGAATTTTTCTTGTTTTATAAGTTGATTTGTAAGGGTGGTGGTTGTTTTTTCGTTTGTTTTGTTTTTTTGGTAATGGGGATTGAACCCAGAAATGTTCTCCCACTAAACTACGCCCCTAGTCCTTTTTATTTTAAGTTGCCAACGCTGGCACTGGATTTGAAATCCTCCTGCAGCCTCCCACGTCACTGAGATTACAGGTATGTGGCAATATGCCCAGCAAGATTTGGGGTTTTTTTGAGATAGGATCTTGCTGTATTGACTTGGTTTTTCTCAAATTCATGGGCTCAAGTGATCCTCATACCTCAGCTTCCCAAGTGGCTGCTGTATGCGTCTGAGCCACTGTGCCCAGCCCAACCTGGGGATTTTTCTTTTCCATTTAAAGCCAACACACCTTTCTCTGGCCCATATCCTATATCCCTCCCATGTTCATACATCTTCATCCTGCAAAGGGGAGATCTCTGTCCTCCTGCCCTGGATCTCCTGTGCATTTGCCCTGCCCCAGCTGCACACTCCCTCCTCCCAGGCACTCTTCTCACTGAGGATGTTTTCCTAATGCTTAGGACCTAGCAGGCCCCTCTGCACATTCAGCGCTTCAGAGTGTAGCACTGTGGTGGGAGCCCAAGGAATTAGGCAGAGGAACTCTCCTCAGTCACTGCTTATTGCTTTGATGACATCAGTTAAGATCTGCTATGCCTGGCTTCAGACTGTGCAAAACACTGGCTCACAGTCAAGAAACAAAGTCCAAACTTTGTTGTTGCCATGAATTAGTTACCCCAGGTAGGTTTGTGGCCCTGAATATTCTAGATTACAGAATAACAGTAGTAAGTTACCTAATCTAGTGCCAGTCCCTGGGCTGTAAATTTTAATCTCACCATAGCCTGTTGTCATTTTAAAAGCAAGGAACTAAAGCTTGCAAAGGTTCAGTGAGGTCACAGCAAGTTCAGCAGCAAAGCCATGATTAAGCATCAAGACCAGTTTCTTCCCTTGTCTGGGAAGTGGCATTACAGACACTCACCACCTCTACTTTCAAATCCCTTTGCAGGAGCTGGGCACAGTGGTGCACACCTATAATCCCAGCAGCTCAGGAGATCATGCATTCAAAGCCAGCCTCGGCAAAAGAGAGGCACTAAGCAACTCAGTGAGACCCTATCTCTAAATAAAATACAAAATAGGGCTGGGATGTGGCTCAGTGGTTGAGTACCCCTGAGTTCAATTATTTGGTACCTTCCGCCCCCAAAAAAGTCCTTTTGTAGGTATTGAAACTAACTTTCAATGCATCTTTGGTTCCTGAAGTGGGAGAAGCCAGGCCAAGCACCTCTTTCATACCTCTCTGTGAACTACTTACATAGTTGTTTTCATGGCTCTGGATATTTCCATCTGGCCAAGAGTAAGCAGGCTGGCGTCTCTGTCCTCTCTAGACAGTCTCTAAGTCCTTCCCGCTCACATCTCCTTTCAGGAACCCCTGACTTGATCTGAAAGTCTCCAATGGATGGGTCACCTAATGACATGAAGATGTCTTTCTGGGAAACCTGGTCCTGTGATTTAGCAGAAGATTGGGGTGAGGTGGAGGGTGTTTATTCACTTTGATTTGCTAAATATCGAAATCAAGGCATGTTCCAGCCCGCCAGAGTAGTAAGTAGGAGAGCTTAAAGCACAAGGGTCAGCACCCAGGCAGAAGTGAGGCAGTAGCAGTGTGGAGCCTGACGGAAGCCATTTCTGATTTCTCACCCAGGGATATACTGGCCTGACCAGGACCGGGGAGCGAGGCAGCAACCACTGCCTCCAGAACTCTGTGCACTGCAACACCAGGGAGCTTAGTTTTCCTCGGTGGAAACTACCAAGTCCTGCGCCACAGGTTCAGGCCCCATCTTCTAAATGGGCACGGTTTCTCCTTTCACCTGGGAACAGCTCACTTGTGGACACAGAAGTGCCAAGACCATTGCACAGTGGCTCTGGGTCAGCCAGCCCAACACAGGCTGAACCAGGTACCCCTAGGACTGAGACTCCAAGGGAAGGCAATCCCAGCAGGCTCACCACCACCATCCAGTTTCCTCAGGCCACATACACTCCCATGTCCAGACCTAGGCCTTGCAGGAATTCCCCTCAGCAGTCATGGAGCACAGGGACTCCTCTGGTCCAGGGGGTAGAGAGGGCCCCACCTGTTCAACTATGTAGTCTCTTTACAACAGGGGAAGACTTTGATGATGATCTGTAAACTGAGATGATCATAACTGTAGTATTTAGAGTCATGTGTTACATGTGCCCATTTCCTCTACTATGCCACAGAAACAGAATTCCTGAGGTGCTTTTAAAGGAGTGTAATCTGAGAACAACCAAGAGTAGACAATAAACATTACTGTAAAACAGGTATTTCTCTCATCAGCAACCAATAAGGAAGGACATCATTGTCAATTAAAGTGGTTGTACCGTTTAATTATAGGTTGTTTACAAATCAGATAACAGGATGGCTACAAAGGGATTTTCTTACTTTAAAAGCAGTTGACACATTTGGAAATGAAAAAACTAGAGCAGTCATGACACAAGGAGGCATACTCAATGAAAACCACAGCTCAGACCTCCCTTCTGAGCCCATCTAGTACCAAGCAGGAAACCCACAACCTGGCTACCCGCCATCCCTGGTACTCCTATAGGAGCCTCCTCCATTCGCTCCCTGACAACTTTCTCATTTGTTGAAAAATAAATGTCAGTGTACTATTAATCATTTTTTAAAAAGAAAAAGCAGAAAGCCATTAGGCAAGACATATTCCGAACTGCTGGTGTGATGCTGGCAGGGAAAGAAGGAGTACGCAGGCATGTCCTTGCCCTCCCTAGCCAGGGCAAGGCCTTGGAGAGGGCAAGCTGCTTCCATTTCTCACACACTTGGAACTCTCCCTTCATGTCACTTGTCCCACTGCCCTGAATGACTTCATGCATCCCCACCCATGGATTCTGGAAGAAGAATGCTGATAAACTGGCCCTTACAGAGGCCCTGCTGTTCTATGCTAACTCAATGCAACTATGAGACAAAAAAGGAGTATGGGATAGATACACAAATGTTGTCACAATGGCGGTGGGTGTTTCGAATACTGGATAGTATCCAGAGCAGCCCCAATGTCGTAATTTTTGGTCTGTAGAAGCCTGGTGAGCCAGCCGCCTTCATCCGAGAACCCCATGGACAGCATCTGAGAAAGCGACTCAATCAGCCGGGGGTCAGCCTCTGCCAAACACAATCCAGAAACCATAAGAGAACATCACTGAGCCCCACCTGACCCCAGACACAGCAGCATTCTGACCTTCACCAGCAAGCACCTAGTATCTTCTGAGGGCCAACCTTTCCATGGGATCCTTTACTCTCAGGAACCCTCAGAGTCAGGTTCAGCAAGCTTTTCCTTTATAAAGGAAGAATAAAATGTTTAGATAATAAACATTTTAGGCTTGCCTTAAAAAGGTTGGGGGGCGGGCCACTGGTGATTGAACTCCTAGATTTTTTTTTTTAACCACTGAGCTATATCCCCAGCCCTTTTTGAGACAGGGTCTAAGTTGCTTAGGGTCTCGCTAAATTGCTGAGGCTTCAAACTTGCAATCTTCCTGCCTCAGCCTTCACTGGGATTACAGGTACACACCACCATGCCCCACTTATGCTTGCTTTGCAGGCTAGATAGTCTTGACACCTCTCTGCCACTAGAGCCAGATATGTAAACAAAAGGATATGCTTGTATTCCAATAAAACCACTGCCAGGCATGGTGGCGCACACCTACAGTCACAGCCATTAGGGAGGCTGGAGCAGGAGGATCACTTGAGTCCAGGAGCTCAGGGCCAACATAGGCAACACACTGACACCCTATCTTAAAACGCACATGCGCACGCGTGCACACACACACCCTTTATTTACAATGATTTTTTTATGTGGTGTTGAAGATCAAACCCAGTGCCTCACACGTGGTAGGCGAGCACTTTACCACTGAGCCACCACCGGAGCCCCAACGCTGAAATTTTAATCTCAAAGTCAAATATCTTTAACTTTCTCCCAACCATTTAAAAATGCAAAAATAATTCATATATAGGTCAGTTTGCTACCCCTGTACTCTAAGGCAGAGAAGATACATATTAGAGCTCAAGAGTTGAATATGGCCTAGAGATAATTTACTCAACATCAGTATGACAAGTAGGAGTCATAGCTGGGTATCAGCTGCTTCTCTAATTCAGGGTGTTCGCTCTACAATGCTACATTCCCCACCATGCCCTGCTTTCTATGCTGTGCACTTCCCATGTTGGCCTCCACCTTATCTCCATGGGGATCTTAGCAGTGACCCCATGAGATAACAGTGCAGATGGTCCAAGTCCAATGCCAAACCCAGTGCAGGCTTCTGTTATTACATTTGACCCCAGCACTTTTTGTGTTTCTATTTTAAGACTGGTTGTCATGGGCTGGGGTTGTAGCTCAGTGGCAGAGTGATTGCCTAGCATGTGTGAAGCACTGGGTTCAATACTCATCACCACATAAAAATGAATAAATAAGATTAAAGTATGTGTCCATCCACAACTAAAAAATAAAAAAGACTGAGTGTCATTAGGTTGCTGAGGCTAGCCTTGAACTTGTAATCCTCCTACCTCAGCCTCCCAAAAAGCTGGGATTATCAGCATGTGTCATGGTACACATATCACATCTGTCTTAACTCTTGGTCTGGTGTTAAGTTTTAGAAATTACTAAAATTAATCAATAAAAAAAATTACTAAAATTAGCTTAGTTTATTATCTCACTCAAGATGGACATGAGAGGACAAAACCAACTCCTACTTTTCTTTCATGTCAATAAACAAGCCCCAGAGTAGAAGCCATGCCATTCTTTTGATTATGTGGCTGAAATCAGATAACAGGACATTCTCAAACAAACCTGAAATCAGGGGCTGGGGTTGTGGCTCAGTAGTAGATTTGCGCGCCTAATATGTGTGAGACACTAGGTTCAATCCTCAGTACCACATAAAAATAAAAGATATTGTGTCCATCTACTACTAAAAAATATTAAAAAAAAAAAAAAATACCCAAAATCACTTACCTGGTGGAAGATGTGGGTACAAAGCAGCTTCCTTCAGCCCTGTGGGTCCTTCCTGGGAAGGGTCCAGAGAGCTTGGCCCTTCTGATTCTGGCATCTGTAGAGACTGCAGTTCACCTGTAGATGGGTCCACTTCTTTTGAAGACAAGTGAGTCCAGTCCTCATCTCCTCCCGAACAGTTATCAGACTCCATCTGTTCCTGGAATATACCTCACCATGAGCATACAAAAGATATATGACAGGCAACCTGACCACACCACTAATTCCTAGAAGAGACCATGTGGATGGAGGTGGGGCTGCTTATCTGCCTGTCAGGCTGGCAAGGAATTACAGGCAACAGTGACCTACTCGCAGAAAACAAGTATTTTTTCTTTACAAAGTTCTAGCAGAAGATTCACAGAGTAAATTAATGCCACAGACATGACCCTGGAACAGTGATGGGGCCCCTCAGGCTGCATAAGTGCTGTGGATGAGGCTGAAGGACAAAGGCAGAAGGCACTAGGTCAGTCAGTTTCAGTTGGAAGGAAGGGAGCAGGCCTACCTCAGGCTGTCCCATCGACTCCAGGGCTATCTTTTTCATTTGCTCTGCCAGCGATTGTGCCATACCCTCGCCATTCCCATCTGGTTTGTTGGGTTCAGAAGAACAGCTGCTTGGCTGAGAACTACACTTGTCTTCCATGCTGGAACTTTCTGGGGAGACAGGTGTCAGGCGGCTTCTTTTCCCTCCATGCTCCACATCAATATCAACTTCAATACCTAAAGGCAGAGGAGGAAACAAAAGCTATGAAATCCCAATGACCTACCTGCAGATAAGATCTCAGTGTCTGGGCAGAGTTTGGTGGTGCACTCCTATAATCCCAGCAGCTCAGGAAGATGAGCCAGGATTGCAAGTTCAAGGACAGCATAGACAACTCAGTGAGAGCCTGTCTCAAAATTAAAAACAAAAGATCTCAGTGTGTTGGGAGACTGTGGCCTTAGGAAACTCTTACACTCCAGCACTGCATGAGGGTTGGGTCTGTGGCACTCAAGCCCATCTCAGGGGCTGACCTGCTTCTCCCAATAGTATGGTTCCAAATCCTCTTGAACTTCTAGAAATACTCTGCTGTCATCCACTATACTGGACCTTTCCCTTCTTCCAACTTAGTAAAACATTAACTTCAGTTAACATTCAAGGTCAATGAAGCCTAAAATCCCACAGAAAGACCTTGTTTTTCCTAATCAAGCAGGACAAAGGGCTGCATAGCAGGCAGGGCCAGACTCTGAGGACAGGGTGAGGGCCCAATACTACATGTGGCCAGAAGGCCCCAGCCATGGTGCTAGAGACATGACACCTTGTGTCTGCGTGTTGGGGCCTCATGACAGGACAGATACAAATTCAAACTAGTATTCAGGTCTGGAAGGCAGGCAGACCATGCAAGCTCAATGTGCAGCCTATGAGACTGGACAGGCTGCTCTCTGGGAAGGGACACAGCTCCTACAAAAAAACAACCTTCTCCTTTCTCCTTCATCCTGGAAGTGCCCTTTCTCTCTCTCCTTCCTATATGCCCCTGCTTTCTTTTTTTTTTTTTTTTTGCAGGACCAGGGAATTGAACACAGGGGTACTTTACCACTGAGCTACATCCTCAGCTCTTCTTATATTTTTATTTTAAGACAGGATCTTGCTAAAGCTGAGTCTGGTCTTGAACTTGCCTACCTCAGCCTCAGCCTCCCAAATTGCAGGAATTATAGGAGTGTGCCATGACACTGGCCGATCATTTTATGAGTATGGAATTCCAAGTTGAAAATCATTTTAGCTCAACATTTGAAACTCACTGGTTGTTCTACTGTCTTCACGCTGTGTTCTTTCTATTCCCAAGCTTTTGGAGTTTCAGAAGCCCTTCTGTTCCCAGGGCTCTAGTAAGTTTTGATGTGGGACTTGCCTCCAGAGTCAATGGAATTACAAGCATGTGCCACCAAGCCCAGCTTGCTTTATACCTTTTTTGCATGACCTCTCCTTACTGTTACTTTAGAAGAATTTGCAGAAAGATTGGGCTGGGGGTGTATAGCTCACTGGTCCAGGACTTGTCTAGCACATGCAAGGCCCTGGGTTCAATCCCCAGTACCACAAAGAAAAAAAAAAAAAAAAAAGTTAGGGTTAGGGTTAGGGTTTTTTTTTTTTTTCATTCCAACTTTTCATTATGAAAAGATTCAGACAAACAGAAAAGTTGAAAGAATAGTAAAAAGAACACTTATAATTTCCATCTTTTTTAAATGGGTGTAGGATGCATATCTCCTATGAAAGGATCAGAGGAATTATAGAATTAGGGGTTCCACAACTGGATAATTAAACCCTGAGATTTCATTCATTATAAGAATGTTCCAAGGCCGGGCATGGTGGCACACATCTGTAATCTGGGAGGCTGAGATGGAAGAATCGCGAGTTCAAAGCCAGCCTCGGCAACAGCAAGGCACTAAGCAACTCAGTGAGACCCTGTCTTAAATAAAATACAAGATAGGGGTGGGGAGGTGGCTCAGTGCTTGAGTGCCCCTAAATTCAACCCCCTGGTACAAAAAAAAAAAAAAATGTTCCATAGTTTGTGGCCTGCTGCCCCCAAAACCTGTATGTGCATTTATGATGAGAAAGGGCCCTGCTGCTTTGTATTCCAGATGTCAATGACTTCTGAGCCAGGAGCACTGCTGGCCTTAATGCTATTCTCATTCAGTTGGCTCTCATGGACCTGCCAAAGGCAGGCCTTGCTCTTTACCTGAAGTCACCAACTCACTACACACACACTGCCTTCTGGAAGGTCACTGCTAACTCCTTCCCCTTTGGGGGCCTCTGCTCTGGGAACTGTCCCTTCAAGGAGGTTAACACGTGAGTGACCTACATTTAGTTCCTCATAGACAAAGGAAAGGAAAATACTCATGACTTCAATATCCGAGTCCAAGCTGTTCCTTAAATGGCTCACCTCGATTAAAAATATCCAGTCATATTTTCTGGAAACTTTCCTTGGTTTGTAGAGTTCCAGGCTCCTCCCTAGGTAGGAAAAAGCCTATTCCATTCACTTCAAAGACCTGCAAAGATCTTTATTCTACTTCCAAAATATCTCTGAGCACTTCCAAAAATTACTCCCAGAGGTGCTAAGTGGCGAATCCAGTTGAGTCCATCAGCATAGATGGGTCTCAGTGGGTCCCTGAATGACCCAGGAAGCCTCCAAAACACAGAGATCCCAACCCCACCAAGACCTACTTACTGTAAACAAGGAGGGTAAGGGCCAGGGGATTGGAACTATTTCAAAGTTCCCACCTGAATCTAGACTTGGTTTTGTAACTTCCCTCAATGGCTTTTTATTCTGTTTAAGGACTTTGTTTTTCAAAATAATTTTATTAGGGCTTCAGGTGATGCTCAGTGATAAAGTGTTTGCAAGGCTCTGGGTTTAAAAAATTTCTTGCAACACTCAGGATCAAACCCCACTCACACATGTTAAATAAGTGCTCTACACCAGGGCTGCATCCCCAGCTCTTTTTATTTTAAAGATAGGGCCTAATGAAGTTGCCCAAGCTAGGCTAAAACCTGTGATCTTCCTGCCTCTTTCTCTCAAATAGCTGAGATTATATTAATAATACTTTTAATAGTTTCTACCCACCAAAATGTATATCCCAAAAAACCTTTATTGGTGATTTTGATTCTCACCATGGCTTGAGAACCAATGCTGATTTACTTATCTTCCTGAGAAGCTGTCCACAGTCCCTAAAAGCCATTTTATGGATGAACATCCTTCAAACCTTAACTAACATCTTTCAAACCATGACAATGGCCTAAGTGAGTGACAGACGGGTCTGCACTTATCTCCCAATTACAACCGATTACTGCTCTACTATGTCCTCCCCTTTGGAAGCCTTAAGAATACCAATTCTAGGGCTGATGGTATAGCTCAGCAATAGTGTGCTTATCTAGCATGTGCTTGAGTTCATCCCTAGCATCACAAAAAAGAAAGTTCTAGCTGAGCATGGTGGTATACACCTGTAATCCCAGCAACTCAGGAGTGTAAGGCAGGAGGATCCTAAGTTTGAGGCCAGCTTGGGCAACTTAGCAAGACATTGTCTCAAAATAAAAAATAAAAAGAGCTGGAGATGTAGTTCAGTGGTAGAACACTCCTGGGTTCAATCCCTAGAACTGGAGAAAAAACAGAATGGCCTTAGGTTAGAGGAGATCTCAGTAGCAGCCATAGGATGAAGTGGCTGGTGGGGACTGGGTACCCCTTAATCAGCATTCTTTCAGACTTTGGACAGGCTCCAGGTGCAATCATGAGTTCTCTCTTCATTTGCAATCCTGGATCCATCAGAATCTCAAACCAGAAGTTGCCTGCCTTAGCCAATTCTCTTTGTTACAAAGCTTAGCCCCATAACACCTACCTCCTGGCTCTAAAAGGATGTGGCAGACGCTTCTGAAAGACTCAGAGATATTCCACGGGAGCCCATGCCTAGGGTCAGGTTACAGCAGTCTTGGAAGGGCACACTGCATTCACCCACCCCACCTACCTACTAGTCTGTGCCCATAAGTACCAGAACCTAGTATCAACAAGAGGACCTAACTCCGTTATCTCCTTTTCCCCCATACCAGCACTCTGGTAGCACTCAGGTAGCACCCAGGAAATGGTTGGGGTTTGCAAACAAAAAGGAAGCAAACATAAAAAAGCATCTCAACTAAGTACTACTCAAATCCTCAGATCCAAATGCCAAAACTCAACTTACAGAAAATTCAGATATTTGTTCCCTACAGACAGAAGTTGAAAGCCAGCCCACCTCCATATCAGGATTATCCCATTGAAATAGTCACTAATTCCACTTCACTTGGAAAGATCAAGAATTTGTCAGGGTATTTGACCTTGATACCCAGGGTACAAAGGTTGATGTGAGGTTACAAAACCATGCCAGTAGATTGCCCATTCCTCTGCAGCATTTCTGGTGAAAGTTGAACAAAGTCCACATGTGCACTGAGTCACCAAACCACTCAGCTGATCTTCAAGAGGAACAAGAAAGCTCACTTACCCAGAGGGCTGAGGGCAGCTGCCACGCTCTCCCCTACATTCTTGAGGAAATTCACACTGGGATCCTCCGATGGACCAGAAGCTTTTGTTTTTACAAACAAAAATATCTTTAAGTCAATACTTTTGATACCCTTAGAGTCCCAGCACCTTCATGACAAGGTCCCTATCATCCCAGGTAGTCTCCATCCTGGACAACTTGTCCCAGCAGCCCACACTTGGCATTTCTCTTCCTCCCACTCTCTGCTCCTCAAGCCTACATGGGCCACGTCCTGGGCCTCTCTGTCCTCTCTGACCCTGGTGTTCCATAACCCTGCAGGATATTGACCAGGTCCTAGATATGCCACTTAAAATCAAACAAACATTCCCAGAGGATGAGATGAATCCAAGGACATAGTAAAAAAAAAAATCAGAATGAAACCAGAATCCCAAATTTTAGAATACAAACATATTCCTAAGTTTTTAACTTTGTGATTGTGTTTTGTTTTGCAGTACTGACTTTCCTGACAGCTACCACAAAAGACGGAAGTACACATCAGAGATCCGGGGGCTGGGAAGGCCTCCCTACCTATACCTCAAGGGCATCTCAGGAGGGCAGCCTGGTAAGGCAGGAAGGGACATGCAGGTGAAATTGGTGGCCTTGGGCACTTAGGCACCTAGGTTTTCCCATTTGTCAAATGGAAATGATACTCTATTTCTATAAGACTCTTATGATTAAATGACATTTGAGCCCCCACTGTGGGCATAGCAGGAATTCAAGACAAGGGGAAGACTTGGCTAAGGGTCCTGCAGCTCTGCTGGCCCTTCCACAGTGCACATGGGCTGCCTGGCTACTCTCCTACCATTCAAAAGCCAGTTCAGACACCAGGCTCACCTGATTCTGCCATGGGGTGGGGGCGGGTATCTCCCGCTCGAGGAGGACGTGGGCTCCAGTTTCCTGGTGGACCCATCTCCCAGCCTGGCCACCCGAAATGCCCATGTTTCAACTTCCGGAGCCAGCGGCTATGAGAGAAGCCCTGGGGAGGAGTAAGCAAAGGGATATTGCAGTGAGGGTCCAGGGTCACAGGCTCATATCACCCTGAACTTACCCCAGGGCTACAGAGGGCCTGCTTACCTCAGAATGGTGCCCAAAGGGGCTGGGGAATACAAGTTTGCTATGCTCCCTGTGCATGCCCTTCCCCTCACAGACACCACATAGGTCATAGTCTGGGCACACACTACACTTATAGCGAGTTCCCACGACAGGCCCATTACAACCATCACAGATCACATTTGGGTGCACCATGCTGCGGGGTGCCTCCTGAGCACATGGGGCACGGTGGTCTCGCCGGCACTCCTTCTTCTCTGCAGGGAGAGGGGAGAGAGAGAGCAGTTAAGTGAGGCCTCCCTGAAGGCCTCCCCTTCCATTGTTACTATAGGGCTGTCAAAGTCAGCAAGGTTCCAATCCTGCTGAGTCTACTCAGAATTCAGGTCTTCAGGTGACAGCAATAGAGCAACCTAAGAACCTACTAGGAGCTCCCCAGGCCCTCAGCCAATTAACCAGGCATATATAGCCCAGGCAGCAGAAGAGCAGTTGAAAGCCTGGCCTTTATCTTTGGCCTTGGTCCTGACCAAAACCCCATGGCATCAGACCCCATTCCCTAGGGAGAACATGGACTCAAAGAGGATCAGGTCAGATATAGGGATATATTTACATGTCCCTGTCTTAGATAATCCTCAGTTTCCTACCCCTTCTTTGGAAGAAAGTCAAGCTCTATTTTTACTCAGCAGGAAGCACCTGGTATTGGGCAGTACCCCAGATCAGCCTTTACCTTTAATGTAGATGCGGAAGATGTCTTCCTTCACGTAGGACATGGCCATTGTCAGCTCCTCATCACTGGAAAAGGCAACCAAGTCTCCATCCTCATCTAGATTGTTTAAAAGACAGCATCTCAGGGCTGGGGATGTGGCTTAATGGTAAACACTTGCCTAGCATGCCCTGAGTTCGATCCCCAACACCACCAAAAAACAAAAACAAAACCAGCACTTGAGCTCCCAGGCTTCTCATCTGGACATAAGTTACTGAAATGTGCTCATGCCAGTGCTGAAGGGTCACTTGTGAGACTCTAAACTTTGAGCCAGGGGAAGCAAAGGCAAGAGACAAGATTGCCCATTTTCTCTGCCACTACCTAGACAGTTAAGTGCTCTAGCCTAGAACCTGGACACAGCTACATGCAGAAGGCAGAGCACATGTACACAGAAGCAGCAGCAACAGCTATCTGCCTGCCATTCAGCCTCTAGGCCAGCTGATCCTTCAGAAAGATGCCCCTTCAGTCCACACCTAACCAGGCCCAGGCCCATCTTCAATTGTGGGAGATCCCTCATGCCCTGCTCTTGAAAGTCCTTTCTCCAAGGCCTTGGGCTTTAGGAGTAAAAGAGATTACCCCATCTGCCTGCATCCCCCCCTGAACAAAGCTTTAAAAAAAAAAAAACAGTATTGTTATATGGTAAGTACTTTTATGTTAGCTCAAATGATTTTAAAGCATCATCATGCAGGCCAAACCACACATTATATCTGAAGGCTGGGGTGGGCATGGAGATACACACCAGCTACTAAAGAAGCTGGAGCAGGAGGATTACTCGAGCCCAGGAGTTCAAGACCAGACTATGCAACATACTAAGACCCTATCTAAAATACAACCACCAAAAAAGATTAGGTTTACATCTGTAGGCTGAGCCAGGCCTATAAGCCCCAGACAACAATTATCTACCCTGAGAACAGGGGCAGCCCCAAAAGATGGAAACAACCCAAGTGCCAACCAACTAAAGATCAGATACACAAAATGTGGCATATCAACACAATGGGATATTATCCTATAACTGTGGAACTTTTTTGGAGGGGAGGGGTGGGAGGTGCTAGGGATTGAACTCAGGGACACTTTACCATCCCCAGCCCTTTTTTTCATTTCTATGAGTCAGGTCCTAGTTGCTGAGGCTGGCCTTGAACTTGAGTATCCTCTTGCCTCAGCCTCCCAAGATGCTGGAATTACAGGAGTGGGCCACAGCCCTGGCTCAGTGAACACATTTTGCTTAAGTGAAAAATACCTTTGCAAGACTCCATTTTAAGACTTCATTTATATAAAATTTCCAGAGCAGGGAAATGAATAAAGTAAATTAGTGGTTGCTTGGGGCTGGGAAAGATGGGATGATGGGGGATGACAAATGAATAAGATGGAGTTTATTAGGGCTGGGGCTCAGTGATAGTGCACTTGCCTGTGCCTGGCATGTGTGAGGCACTGGGTTTGATTCTCAGCGCCGCATATAAATAAAATAAAGGTCTATCAACAACTAAATAAATAAATATATGGAGTTATAAGGTGATGAGGTTTCTAATACTGATTCTGATGATGGCTCTACAAACCTGAATCCTAAAAAAAAAAAAAATCCTCATAGAACCATACGCTCTAAATGGGTGAGTTATATGGTATGTAAGTTATAACTCAATAAATTATCACACAGAAAAAAATTTTTTTTCAAGAACAGAAAGAGCCTGGCAAGTACAGCCCTTCTGAGGGAGGTCCCAGCACCGACCCCACCCAGGGGCGGGCCTTGGCCTGCCCCTTCCAGCCACAACAACATTCCCTAACCCCACCTCCCGGCAGCCATCGACCACACACAGCAAAAAACGTGAGTTTTTGGGGGGTGTCTCAAGAACGTTTTGATCGCCTCCCTCTCTCCACAGCCTGTATCAAACCTAGCCACCGGCGTTATGCGATCTGTCCCCGATCTCTCTCCCATCGTCATGCTGGAGCCCGCCAAGCAGGAGCCCACAGGAACAGGCCGCACTACCCTGACTCCCTCGCACCCACACGCTTGTTTACCCTCAGCCCCTCCTCCACGTCTGCTCTACCCGGGCTCTTCCGGGGTATTATCTGAACCCACCACCTGGCGTTAGCAGGACCAGACTAGGCAGCGAGATGTCAGTGTAACCTGAGTGTCTGCCTGACCACCCTGTCCCCACGGGGAGCCAGAGAGGACGCCCCGGCGCGTCCTTGCCAAGATCTGCAACATCATGGCGGGGGGATGGGTGACACCTTGCGCCCCCCAGGCCTTAAAGCCCCGCCGGGAGAACCTGACCGCACCCAGGCTCAGAAAGGGTCGGCACCGAGCCTTGGTTACCAGACTGACACCCGAAGCCCAACTGGCGACCCATGCAGGCCACCGCCCACCCAATGAGTGGCCAAGGCAGTCCTCCGCCACGGCCCAGTACGCATCCACGAGAAGGAAGGAGGCAGTCACCCCGGCCCTCGCCAGCGTCACCGCCCCCTGGCCCGCTCACCGCGGTAATGCGCCTGGAAGCCACCCGGACGCAGCGCGGGGAACAGGGCGGCGACCCGGCTCAGTAGCCGCTCGCAGGGCCCTGGGCCGGCAGCGGCCTCGGCTTCCGCCTCAGGCTCGGGGCTGAAACAGAAGCTGAAGCGGCGGATCTCACGCGCTGCTTCCTCCTTGCCCAAAAGGTAGGCCTTCACGGTGAGCGACGCCATTACCACAGATCTAACAGCAGGAACACAGCTGGGTTGCGACTGCCGCCGTCGGCGTGCGTCTTTTATAGAAAACGCGGGCGGTCACGCCCCTCTCGACCTCCTGGGGGTGGAGCCTCTATGCGTCTGACTCCGCCCCCCACAGTCGGGGCCGCTGCGCGTGAGCCTCCCTGCCTGGGCCCCGAGCTCCCTCGCCTATCTTCTGCCACCCCCTCCGGATCTCCCAGGCCCACTCATTGCCATCCCCTCTCTTCACTACCCCAAATGTATGGGGGACCCCAAGAGTCCTTCCCCGGTGTCTATACCTGGGTGAAGAGATTGGCTGGGGTCCTGTCCCATGCCTTTCCCAGGCCTGGGCCTGGCAGTGACTCAGCAATGTAGTCCCCAGGCCAAAGGGGATGCCCAGGCTGGATACCAGAAGGCTCATGGGCAGCACCATGGGCACAGCACAGCTGGCTCCTAGTGTGCTCTCCCCACACTCCAGTGTTGGGTGTCTAGGGAGGCAGTTCACTGCACAGCCCACACCATCCCCCATGACCATCCCCTAAATGGGTTAAGGGACAGACCCTCAATTCAGGAGCACCAGAGAAGTTCCTAGGTTAATAATGGGTTTGAGAGGTACTTTGGGGTAAATGTTGGTGAACCCCCCCACCCACCTCTGGAAGGCCAGAAAGAGCTTCCTGGAGCATCAGTGACTACCAGCTGTTCACTATAGCCCAGGACTCCTCATAGGCATTCAGATTCCCACTTGTGAGCACTGAGTTCAACCAGCAAGTGTGGGCTCTCAGGCAGCCAATAGCCCTCTAGCTTTGAACCAGGAAAGCTGTTTTATGTGACCAGTTTGCAAGGCCTGGAGAAGGGGGGGGTGGGGTTGGAAGGGTGTAGGCAGAAAAGGAATGGCACCCTAGGAAGTCTCCAGAATCCTGTGAGTGGGAGGTCAGACCTGCTGGGTCAAACTCATATCTTTTAGGGTTGGGTTTATGGGACCAGAAAAAATTCCAGAATTGGGGAAACCCAAAGACCAAACGAAGGCTAGTCTGGTGTGAAGGTGATTTACCTGTGGGAATACAACTGGGGCTTAGTCACGTTTTACTGCTCCTGCCCAGAGGGATCCATAGTGGGCAAGAATTTGCACCCATGTCAAAGAAGCTTTGTAGAAAGGATGGTCCCTTGGGCTGGGGATGTGGCTCAAGCGGTAACCGCTCACCTGGCATGCATGGGGCGCTGGGTTCGATTCTCAGCACCACATAAAAATAAAAAAAATAAAGATGTGTCCACCGAAAACTAAAAAAGGATGGTCCCTTTTCAGGCCTTTCTTGCATCCAGCTGTAGGTCTCTTAGTCTGCTATACCCACTACCCTGCAGAAAGGATCAGGGGACAGGGAGGGGGAACCTGAGCTGAGGCTGAGGCCTGAAGACAGATGCCTGCCAACCATGACTCAGCAGTCTAGAAGCCTAACAGCCTCAAAATCTCAGGCAGGCCAGGCTTCCTGCCCCAGCCCCTAACTTGAGCCCCTCAATCTGAGTGGGTAGGGTACACCAGGAAAGCCCTCTGGCTCCATGGAGCCTAGCTTTCAGGAAGGGCTCAAGAGGTCTTCTGTCAGAAGAAGCAGAGTGACTGGACTTCTTTGTTTTCTTTGGGACTGTGGTAGGATTTCAAGGAGAGATGGAGAGGTTCAGGGAGAAGGGTGTCTGGAAATGGGGTTCTGGGAACTGGCCTAGAGACCCTTGGCCCCTTAGGATCCCCTCAGCTCGGGCCCTTTCCAGCATGCCCTGCTGCTTAGAACATCCCCCACCTACCCCTCTCCCCTGAACTCCAGTAGCCAAAAGATAAACAAGGAATCGCCTGGGGAACCCCCTGGCAGGGGCCCTCTCTGCCTGCCCTGCGGTCAGGTGGCCTTGCAGGATGAGTCAGTGTCCCATGACCACCGTCATAACAGGGGGATCCCCGGCTTCTGCCACTCATCTCAATGACAGTAGGCAGGGGTGAAAAAGGGACCCAGAACCTGGGGGGGTCTTTGGAAGACCCCAGAGGAAGATGAGTTCTTAGTGACCAAGGCTTGCCCCAGACAATTAAATGCGATGCGACTGACATCTCATGTATTTTCCATTTCCGGGATGGGATGCAGGAACCCCCACCCCAATCTCCTCTGTGTCCTCTAGCCCCTAGAACATGGCATGGACACCTATGAAAGGAGGAAAGAAAGAAGACTGACACACAGGTCAGACAACATGCTGTGTTGCTGTTACCACTGTTTACCGGTGACTTGCTTCCCCAATGTTGAAGTATAACACCAGAGAAGCACGCTGAGGCAAGATTAGAGTGGAAAATAGCTGCTTTATTAAAGGACAGCAGAAAAGACTTCTCCCGGAGGAAGAAGGGAACCCAAGAGGTAGAATCCGTGGAAGGGAGAATGTATTCCCCTTTTTATAGCTAAAGTCTTCATCTGGTCCCCTCCCCCATTCCTGTCCTTTGTTCTGTTATCTTTCAGTGCTGAAATGTAAGTGGGAAGGCTGGAAGGGTCGGGTACAGGTGGGCCAAAGAAGTAATCTGGGCAGGAAGGACTTTGGGGTCAGCATCTTCAAGTTTGCTGGGAGCTGCTTCATTAACATTTCTTTGGGATGGGCTCTGGGCCTTGAGGACCTTAACATTCCAAGAGTTGTTCTGGTTTTCCTGGACTTCATTCTCAACATGGCCTTCATTTTGGATTTTACTCGATATTAAACCCGATTTACCTAACTACACTAACTACTTATCTTTAAATCTGGCTTAATTGCCATCGTTGGGCAGGTAAACAGCCTCATCTTTCTTCATCTTTTATGCCAGGAAATGTTCTGAATAGTCTATATAAGTTAATTCACCTGCTCCCAAGAGGTGAAACCATGTGATTAGTTCTGGCCAAGGGCCTGAATGCCTTCAGGCCACGGCATTTATTTATTTGTCAGTGCCAAGACTTCTAGAGCTTCTTTCTCTCTGCAAGGGAAGCCTGCAAAGTTCAGGTGGCTATTCCTGTAACCTGGGCAGCAAAGCCCCCCAGGGGACCCTTCATGGATATACAACTTTGAGAAGTATAGTTTTACTCAAACACAGAAATTTGGGGTTGTTGCAGCAGCATAAGCAGGCCTATCCTACCTGATCATTACTCTCATTTTGCTTCCAGGCAAATGGGAACAGAAAAGATCAAGTAACTTGTCCCAGGCCACACATCCAGGAAGTGGTGAAGACAGGATTATGAACCCAGGCAGGGTGTCTGCCTAGTCCACTTTGGACCTCAAGTAAACACAGTTTTCAAAACTATCCAGAGGCCACCTGAGATAGGAATTTAGGATTAGGAGAGAAAAGTATGGAATCTTAAGGGAAGTACCCTCAAGCCATTGAAATGGAGAATCAAACCATGCAAAACCACAGTGATAAACCTTGGCAGAGCCCTTGTAAAATGAGGGAAATATGCAAGCCCAAGAAAACTGGCTTGAAATTGTGTAGCTCCACCCTGGATCCACTTCCTGTCCAGCCCTTCTATACATATTGGACCCTCCAGCCCAAGTCAGGGCTGCTTCTCCCTCTTGAGTCATCCCACATTCTCTCTCTCTCTCTCTTTCTCTCTCTCGTTTTTTTGGTGTTTTTTTTTATATATATTTTATTTTATTTATTTTACTTTATTTATTTATAGTGGGGCTGAGAATCGAACCCAGTGCCTCACACATGCTAGGCAAGCGCACTACCACTGGCCACAGCCACAGCTCCTCCTTTCTCTTGAATGTGCATCTAACTTCCTAAATGATCCTCTGTTTATGTCTTTGTCTGTCTTGTAATGAAACTGTTTTCCAGCTAAGAACCCTGCTGGTCCTGAGTTGACTGGACTCCTTTGCTTTGCCTTCTCCTTCTGGAACTCCTCAGACCCTTCATCTGAGACACCTCTGCTCTCCTGACACATCTACTTCTCTTCACGTCCAACTCCTCACCCTTTGCCCTATTCCAGAACATCCTTTTCCTAGGTGTCTGTGTCAGAGAGAAAAACTTTTCCTGTATGTTCTTATGTTCAGTACTGGTACTCCGTGAATTAAACTAACAAAAGACAGACTCAAAAAAGAACAAACTTTTTTTTTTTTAAAGAGAGAGTGAGAGAGAGAATTTTTTAATATTTATTTTTTAGTTTTCGGCGGACACAACATCTTTGTTTTTATGTGGTACTGAGGATTGAACCCGGGCCGCACGCATGCCAGGCGAGCGCGCTACCCGCTTGAGCCACATCCCCAGCCCCACAAATTTTTTTTAATATTTAAAAAAAAAATAGTTGTAGTTGGACACAATACCTTTATTTTATTTATTTATTTTTATGTGGTGCTGAGGATCGAACCCAGGGCCTCGCACAAGCTAGGCAAGCACTCTACCACTGAGCCACAACCCCAGCCTCAGATTTTTTTAATTTATATGCTAGGCAGTTAGAACTTGGGGGCTCATATACCTATCAACATAATAGAGGAAGGAAAAGATGGACATTTGCCAGCAAACAAATGACTTTTAGGGAAAAATAATACAATTTGTGACCTGTTTTGTGAGAATGTCTATTTGGGTGTGGTGCAAGACTTCTCCAGTGATAAGAGTCTAAGAGTTAATCTTTTCCTGGTTTGCTCCCTGGGAGTCAATTACAACAACTGAGTTTTTTTATGAGATTATCTTTAGGCACATAAAGGAGTTTAGTTAAAAGGCTATTCCGAATGTCTTTAGCTCAAATACATTTTATGCCACAGTGGTGTATTCTGGACCCTTTTACCCTCAAAGAGCCTCTTACTGGTCCCCCTCTTATTCTTTCCACCCCGCTCTCCTTTCCTGCCCAAATGACCATTACAAAATGTAAATACAACCCCAACCTCCACTCCTCTTTCTGCCTTAGAAATCAGGCACAATTTTGAGGGTTAAAGCCCAAATTCCCAGCAAGGTTTATGAGGGCCTATCACTGCTTGCCCTTGTCATCCCAGGGCCTCTCTCACTGAGTTTTACAGGGGACAGGCGGCTCCTTTAACAGAGTCATTTGCATATGATGATGACTATGCTAAGGCCACACCTCCTCTCCCCTGGGTCTTACCATTACCCTACTTCCCAAGGGAGAACCTGTGTTCTTCTAGCATGGTAAACTTGCCCCATCTTAAGCTTTCTGAGCCTCATGGATCTTGCCTTTCCAGCATCTGGCAAGGTGGCTGGAGATTGGGATCTGGCCAGGCAGTGACCAGGTCAATGTCAGAGCACATGTGCCTTTCTCACTTTTTCTTTTTCGTGTGTGTGTGTGTGTGTGTGTGTGTTTTGTTGGGGATTGAATCCAGAGTGCTCCAACACTAAGCTACATCCCCTTTTATTTTTTATTCTGAGACATGGTCTTGATAAGTTGCTGAGGCTGTCCTTGAACTCACAATCCTCCTGTTTCAGCCTCCCAAATTGCTGGAATTACAGGCATGTGCCACCATGTCTGGCTCTGTGTTTGTATTTCCAGTGATCTATGCATATCTGGTATATTGTGGATATTCAGAACATTTGTCTTGAATGAATAAAGGAAAGGCATCTAATGAAATGGGCATGATGATGAGATAATTTAAGGCAAGACTTCCAAACTTTTATGACAGTCTACACCACCTGTATCAACTGCAGAAGATGAAGGACCCCTGCTTAAAATCATGTTTTCAAATGCATTGCATTCATATGTGTGTGTGTCATGTCCAAATATAAACACAAGTTTATAATATAGAAATATCTTATCTAGGTGCAATGGCACACACCTGTAATCTCAGGCACTGTGGAGGATGAGATACAAGAATCACAAGTTAGACCAGCCTCAGCAATTTAACAAGACCCTCAGTAACTTGGCAAGACATTGTCTCAAAATAAAAAATAAAAAGGGCTGGGGATGTAAGTCAGTGGGTACAGTGCCCCTGAATTCAATCCTTAGTACAAAATATATATATATATATATATATATATATATATATATATATATATATATATATATACACACACATACATATATATATGGTTCTTTAGTAATTTATTAAGTTGTAAGATCTAGAGGCTGAACTAATATGCACCAGAAATATGAAGTTAACTACTATGAATGTAACAACTATTTTTTTTAAATATTTGTTTTACTTAGAGGTGGACACATATCTTTATTTATTTATTTATTTATTTTTATGTGGTGCTGAGGATTGAACCCAGGGCCTCACACGTGCTAGGTGAGCACTTTACCACTGAGCCATAATCCCAGCCCCATGTAACAACTATTTTTAAGTAACTGACAATAGATGAAAATTCCTGTGATTTCTATCATGAGGGTCAAGGAATTGGTAATTCTTCTAACTCTGCTGCTTCCATTCATAATTGAAGGACATATCAAATTTCAGTTAAAGGTTGGTGAAACAATAGATGGGGCCTGCTTGGTGGTGCAAACCTTTAATCCCAGTAACTCAGGAGGCTGAGGCAGAAAGATGGCAAGCCCAAGGCCAGCCTAGGCAATTTAGTGAGATCCTGTCTCAAAATAAAAAGGACGGGGGTGGGGGGTGTAACTCAGTAGTAAAACATCCCTACTATTGCAGAGAGGGAGAGAGAGAAAAAAATATAGATTTTTTTTTTCCCAGCTTAGCTCCTGGACCTTCGCAGTTACTTGGTCCCGAGACCGAGACCACATGTTAAGAAGGTTAAGGGCTGTCCCAGAAAATGTCCAGAAAGACAAAGTGGGCTGAGGGCTGGCACGTAATCTCAACACAAAAGGGCATTTTCACTGTGGGAAGCAAGAAGAACAAAGAAAGAACAAAGAAAGGCCCACAGCTGGGGTTTGGAAAGAAAGCAGACTTTTCTGTGCCAATGTGGCTCCATCTTCCCTCCTGGGTCAGGACTAGAGTTGCTTCTCAGACACCAGGAGCTAAACCCTTGGGTGAAGGAGTGCCCCAATCCACTCCACAGGGTGACAGACAGAGCCAGGAAGTGCCTGGAGGGAGTTTGGGTGGCAGACAGGCCCAGATTAATTAATTACTGCAAGGGCACGGAGAGCAATGGAAAACGGGAAAGGAGCCAGGCAACGGCTGCCCTGTTTCAAAAGGAGAAGGCTGGGGTGGGGGGGCTATAGTGAGGGTTCTGCTTAAGGCAGCCCAGCACTGGCACATCAGGCTCTCTTCCCACCCCATGAGCCATTTCTGACAGAGGCCCTGCACTCCTCAGACATCATGGCAGAAGCTTGGCCCCTTCTTGGGCTTTCCTCATTCCTGTTCCCCCTGCTTCAAAGACACTATGTGGAGTGTATGTGTGTGGGGGTCAAATTTAGTTATTGATAATCCATCCCCTTCACTTTCACTGGTTTAATAATTTGAATATTTTTCCTTAGATCGACTCAATTTTAAACTTAAGAATATATTTTTATTTTTTGCAGTGCTGGGGATGGAACTCAGAGCATTGAACAAGCTAGGCAAATGCTCTACCACTGAGCTACAGCTTCATCCTCATACTTTTTTGGCGGGGGAGGGGGGTATCAGGGATTGAACTCAAGGGCACTTAACCACTGAGCCACATCCCAGCCCTATTTTGTATTTTATTTAAAGACAGGGTCACACAGAGTTGCTTAGGGTCTTGTTAAATTTCTGAGGCTGACTTTGAACTCTCAGTCTTCCTGCCTCAGCTTCCCAAACTGCTGGCTGGCTCCACGCCTCGCTCCAGTACTTTTTTTTTTTTTAAGCTGAGTTTTTATATAACAACCCAAATGAAAACTCGTTATCTTTTGCTACAAATAGAAGATACTTGTGAAAACACAGGAATATAAAACAGGGCAGTTTCCTCCAGAAGTCTGGACTTTAGCTCCTAAAGTTCATCAGTATAGAGTGGTTGGAGAAAAGCATAGAGCCCTGGCCTCAGCCACTGGCTCTGCTCATCTCTGCTTTTAGCATGAATAACTATGCAGGGTCAAAGGCCCAGGCCCCACCATCACCCATCCACCCACACCTTCCCCACTCCCAGCTCTGGGCTTTCACCCTGCCCACCAGATGGGGGGCTGGCTGAGGAAAACAGACCTCCAGCTCACTCCCAATCTAAACCCACTGCCTTCAGACTTCCCCATTGGGAACCAGATGTCCTTCTAGCCAATACTCAAACTCTTAAGAAATGGTGATGACACTCACACATGTACATCCATGAGCTCAGTGGTAGAGTTCTTGCCTAGCACACCTCTGAGGCAATGGGTTCTGTTCCCAGCAGCACTGCAAACAAAACAAAAACACCCAAATGCATGCTCAGAGCCTGAACAGGGCCAGTCCTTTTATTATTTGTCTCCTTCCTGGTTCCATAGAGGGCTGGAGAAAGTTTCTAATTAATCCAGGAATGAAAGTGTAAACAGCCAGTAATAAAGTTCTAGGTGATCCTTGTACGGTTAGGTATTGATACCCCGCATCACGCTGCGGTCCTGCGTGCTGCTCTAAACTGCGGACTAAGCCTCCCTCCTGCCCACGCCATACCTGGCACCCAGGAAGATACACCCACATACCCACCGGCTCTCTGACTCCTGAAAACGGCCCATTGTCTTTTTTACACAGCAGGAGCGCCTCCCCCGGTCTCCAGCACGCCTAGCCTTTCTCAGAGTAGAGAAAGGTCCTGGCAAGCGTAGTGTCGGTGGGCGTCGAAGAAGGTAGTGTCCATTCCAGGCTGTGCCTCCCAGCTGGAGACAGCGCCAGTTCCAGAGCCATACCAGTCACCTCCCATCATCCAGACCTTCTCAAACACAGAGAAGGGCCTTAAGGTCCCAGAGAAATTGGAAGTGAAGTCCGGGTCTGGGTCTGGGAAATTCATTATGGGGATGTTTCCAAAAGGAGACTTGGGATCGCCTCCACCGCCAGGCCCTGCTGCACCGCGACTGACCGCGCCGCGATGCCCTAGCCTCGACTTAATTTTAGGGCAGAGCCCGGGATGCCCTGGGCGGCCCGAAGCCCCGGACGCACGAGCCCCTGCATGGGCGACTGTCCGGAGCCGGCCAGCGGGCATCCCGGGCTCTGCTCTCCCACCCCGCCCCCTCGCGGTGAGAGTGGCGGCAGCGGGTGATGCGGCCCCTTTAAATCCGGGCCGCCCCGCCCTTCGCTGTCGACTCCGCGGCTGCCCCGGATCCAGGCCGGGCCGCGGCACTCGCCGCCCAGTCCAGCCCAGCCCGGCCCGGCCCTGCCGCCGAGCCGAGGCCCCCAGTGTCCCGCGCACCGGAGGAGCAGCCAGAGCCGTCCCCGGCCGGGGCCCCATCCCAGCCCGCCCGCAGCCCGCCCGGCCCCGGGCCCCCAGCCCTTCCTCGCCCCGGGGCCGGGGCCCCCGCCGCCTCCCGGCCCCTGCGCCCCGGCCCCGGTCCCCCGGGCCATGCGGCCTCGGCCCCGCCGGCGCCCGCCGCGCACCCGAGATGAGGCTCCGCAATGGCACCTTCCTGACGCTGCTGCTCTTCTGTCTGTGCGCCTTCCTCTCGCTTTCCTGGTACGCGGCGCTCAGCGGCCAGAAAGGTGAGTCCCCCATCCCCCGCGGCCGCCTGGGCTCGGCCCGCGCCCGTCCCCACACCTGGGTGCACCTGGGTGTCGGTGGCGGGAGAGGGGTCCGGTCAGAGGCCGCGTGAGGCGGCTAGAATTGGCCACAGGCGCCCCTGTCCTGGCCAGCCGGGAGGACGCCCCTCCCAGGCTCGCCCCCACTTGTTTGCTGCTGGAATAACCAAATTCTCCTCTGGCCTGGGCTGGGCCAAGAGGCGGATCGGTGATCTGTCCTGTGTGTAGCGCTCGGGACTGGCCTCTGCGGGCAGTTATCCCCATGCCTGGGAATATCACTCCCATTGGTCAGTTGAGGACCCATGGAGTTATCCCAGAGGGGCAGAGACACAAGGTCACAGAGGTGAGGTAACTGAGCCCAGGTAATGTGGGGAGCCTGCTCAAGGCATCTGGACAGGAACAGGCACAGTGTTCTTGAGACAGGTGTGAGGAGGCAGCTAGGCACTACTCTGCACCCCACACCACCTAGCCACTCCATCCCACTCCCAGCGTTCAGCTCCAGCCCACGGCTGGTGCTGCTTCTGTGCATACTGCTCCCTGGGGCCACCTGCCAACCTTCTCCCTGGCACCGGGGCCCCAGGACTCCTCAGGTACCTACTCCCCAGGAATCCTTTCTGTGTATTCTCACCTGTGCAGAGTGAGTGAAGGGCCTCATGAGTAGCCAGTCCAGCCCTGGCTATCTGATCACTTACTTTGTGTGGTCTCATTGGACCACTCCTACCTCCTGAAACACATCTGAAGCTTGGGCAGGTTGTCTAGTCCACCATCAGAGCCTCTGAACTGAGCACACATAGTGGGAGGCCTCAGCACTGGCCCAAGTCACCTGCTGGAGGATGGGGTGTTTTGGCCTGAGGGGGCTGAGACCCTCAGAGGCCCTTTGTCCCTCCAGCCTGAGCACTGGAGGCACTATGGGAAAAGCTGCTTCCTTCCTGCAGGATCAGGTTAAGGCCAGCTGACTCTCTGCCTCCCTTCTACAAACTACTTCCCTGTTCCCCAACAGCACAGTAATGAGGTTGGAGGAGGAGGCTGGTGGAGGAGCTGGATCCTTCCTTGGGAGTCCAAGTTCCAACTGCCCCCACCAGCTTCTTGCCAGCCCAGCCCAGCCCAACCCAGCCTTTTGCTGTCATTCTGTTTGGGTGGAGGCCAGGGTTGGCCTTGGGGCTCCAAGGCCAAAGATTCACAAATAAGGGACCCTGAGGAGATACCTCTTAAGGCCTGGTACACAGCATGGCAGTATAGAGGCTGTTCAGGTAGAATGTGTTACCAGGGGACGACATAGTCAAGGCACAGTTTCTGTAGGGAGGACGTGTCACCTGAGGAAGGGTATTTTGTGCCCTTGGGAGAGTATCCATGAAAACAGACTAGCATGGCAATCTAGGTGGGGCCATGTCTGAAGATCTAGGGCTCATTCAAATCAGATGATGAGCCCTTGTACCTTATCCTCAGCCAGGCCACAGTTCCTGTAAGTCTTGTATAGCAGCCATGTGTCCTCAGCCTTGACGTCAGGAGCCACAACCAGGTACCCCATGGGAGGCCTCTTCTGGGAGAGTAGCTAGCTCACCATAGGGAATCAGTCTCCTGGAGGAGTAAGCAGAGTGAGGGGAACAGAGTGTTTCCACCTAGGACCCCTGTGCCTGAGGTGGGCATGCAGGAGGCTGGCACTCTGAGGAGAGCTCCCCAGCGAAGAGTGAGGCTGAGATGCAAGGATTCTTTCCCTTGGGGGATTAAATCCCAAAGCCTTTAGGAATGGAAAGGGCAATGACTGTTTCCATGGGGGCCCAGTAGGGCCCTGTCTTTGGAGTCCTCGAGAGAAGCTAGAAATCTGGGCAATTGTGTGAATGTTTCATCTCATTCTTATAAGCAAACAACTCTGTATAAGCCCACAGTGAAGCCAGACTCAATCAGTCTAAAGCCAGATTAGATCCTGGCTTCCAGGTTGCTGTGGATATAGGGCTCAGGAGAAAGTCCAGTGCTTAGGGAAAAGGCAAAGGAAACCAAATCTGCAGGGAAGGGAGGAGTTGGGCAGGGAGCCAGAGAGGAAGGGGACAGCTGGAGCAAGGGACATCCAGGAAGCCTGTGTCAAGTCCAGGAAGGATTCTTAGACTTTGGCAAGATGGACCCAGGAACAGGGTTTAGGGCCCAGTTTCACATCCGGCCTTGACTATTTTTTTTTTTAATATTTATTTTTTAGTTTTCGGCGGGCACAACATCTTTGTTTGTATGTGGTGCTGAGGATCGAACCCGGGCCGCACGCATGCCAGGCGAGCGCGCAACCGCTTGAGCCACATCCCCAGCCCCGACTATTTTTATAAAGTAGCTCTGTGGCCCTCAGCCAAACACCTGCTGAGACCCATCCCTGGGGAGGCAGACCCTTAGGGGGAGATGGAACACTGGGCCTCAGCTACACAGCCCTTCCCAGTGGATAGGCTGTCTCTCTCCCTAGTCCTGGACTTCAGTAATGTTGGACACCCTCCTTGAGTCCTGGAAGGGAGAAAGCCCAGGAGAGGGGTGGATACCTGCCATTCTCCATGTTCCCCTTCCTCCCCTACAGGTTCATAGCAGATCTCTGGCTGGACCTGGCACCTGCCTGTGGCCCTCTGAGCCTATTTCCTCTTTCCTAAGTATGCAACCCTGGAGCTCTAGCTTGGTTCTGGAATCTATTTCTTCACCTAGGTGGAACATTGTGGGCCCCAGGGTGCCTGATTCCTCTGCCTCCAGGGAAGGAATGAGAACACCTCCAGGCCAATAGTGTACCAATAGCTCTCAATAGTGTGGTCACAACTTCAGTCCTTGCTTGGGGCCAGCTCTACCCTGCCTTCCTAAAGTGGGAAGTTATGGATGGAAAGAGAAGCCAAAGTCTCTAATTCCCAGGATCCTCTGCCATGCCCTGTTCTGCTCACCCAGAAGGACCACAGGCTCTTACAGGCTTTGCCTCCTCATCACTTGAGTTGCCTTCTCAGTCCACTCACCACCCAGCCCATAAAGATTGTGGGATGATGGGATGGCCTGGCAGAGCCCTGGTATAAGCAGAGCCCATGGGGAAGGTGGTCACAGAGCTTGAATTTCTGGCTTTGACAGGCTAGGACAGAGTGGACCCACCATCAGAAAAGCCAGGGTTGAGGGTCAAACCCAAATCTTATGGGCAGAATCGGGCAAGACAAGGCTAGCAGTGTTCAGGGAAATGACAGTAGCTAGCCCTAGCTTGGGTAGGAGCCATTTCCAACAGAAGAGAGACCATGGTAGGGAACAAGCTGTGGTCAGGACTAGGTGGCCAGGATGATTCAGAGAAGCATTGTCCACCATGGCCTGCCTGTCCTGTCCACCTGGGGCAGTCCAATAAGGGACAGAGTTTGGTCGATTTAAATAACTGACCAAAGGGTAGGGGAAATGGGGCTCTAGTTAGAGGTATGTGAGCCTTCCCTCCCCCCCTCAGAGTGGCCCCACCTCAGGGAGCTATTTTGGATGGAGCCAGTGGCATAAGTTTGCCCCTTAGCTACACTACACAGAGGGAGGCACCTGTTCTACCCAGGCAGCTCTGAACTTCTCCTTGGAGCTCTGAGAGTCTCAGCACCTCTGATTCTCTCCGTCAGCTACTACTACCACTACTGAAAAGAGAAGAGCTGTGAGTGTTGAAGATGGCCAATTCTGCACTCAAGGAGTCAGGTTTCTAGGGTAACTGGCTAGGAGCCTCAGATCTGGTAACCCGACTCCTTCTCCCCCCACCCACCACCACCAAGCAAGGTGTATGGCCTTTAACCCTGGTGAGGCAGGGTGTGGGAAGATTGGGGAACCATCTGCTCTAGTAAGAGGTACCTCCAGGGGGATCTGCTTAGCTTTGTCTTCTCCAATTCCCTCTTCTTGCTCTGGGACTTAGCATTTAAACCTCTGCCTGGTCTGAGGCTGAAGCTGCAGAAGGAGGTGTGTCCTTTGCCTTGATCCTGACCTTTGGTGCACAGGGCTGGGTGGGGGAAATGCCATCCTAGGGTACTGAAGGAGCTGTGAACCCACCAGGGATCAAGGAATAGCAGAACTGCTTGAGGTAGGAGGGGAGTTCTGGAAGGATTCTTAAATTTTGAGACCTGGAAACAAGGCCTTGAAGGCTACATGTACTTTCACTAGTCCCATAAGACAAAAGGGGATTCCAGGCAGAAGAAACAGCTGTGCAAAAGCAATAAATGTTAGATGAGGAGGAGGTGTATGTGATGGCAAATAAAGAGGGCAAAAGCCAGACTAACAAAGGCCTTGAATGCACAGTCTGGCAGGAATTGCTGGCACCCAGCCATGGGGGTTGTTTATCATTCTTGCCCACTGGTCCTTGCCAGACCAGTGGAGCCAGGTGCTTGACACCCCAGGAAATCCTCTCTGCTCTCAGGCAGCCCCACCTGTGCTGTTCCCAGCCTACGTATACCCCTAATGCCCAAGCCTAGCTACTGCTATCTGGGGTCCTATTGGAGGTTCTGACCCAGTTCCCCCTGGGTGGCATGCAGGCATTCAGGGCTTCTGTCCACCCCCTGTCCCCTGACTGTTTGAGCAACACTTAGGCTAGTTTCTCAACTTCATCTACTTATCTGAGCAAGCAGGTGGGATGGGAGTGGCTAAAACTGCAGCAGCCACTCCCAGGGTCCTATGTGACACTGAGAATTCAGTGCAGATGACAACCAGGACTGTGAACAGACACCCAGGGTCACAGATCAGTCCTACTGGGAGGATAGGAATAGGAGTTCAGGGAGGCTGGCTATCCCCAGAAGGACTTGGGGATGGCGCTGACTTTGAGCTCAGGTAAGGGTGACAAGAGGGAAGGGGAAGGCTAGAGCTGAGGAACTGCTTGAAGAAGGGCAAAGTCCTTGTATCCTGGATGGGACCTTGGGTGTTCTAATCCCCACAAAGAGCACATGCAAAAGAAGCAGGAGGGGGTCTTTGGGAGCCAATGGGCAGAGAGGATTCAGTCTGAGGCTATTCCATCCCCTGCTTAGCATTCCCTGGCTTGGGACTGGAAGTGATCTAGTGGTGTTCTGACTTTAGAGGTCTCCTCAAAGGAGTATGGTGAGAGGGCAAATCCCCCTGCTGGGGGCTTGCCTACCCCAAGCATGAGCATCAGTGTGACTTTACCAGTGACCCTTATGTAAGGCAGTCACGAGAAGAGCTATAGATGTGCTATTGTAGATGTGCACAGATGGGTACTCAGCTGTATGCACTAATATGAGCAAGGGACTTACCTGAGCAAGGTATGCTCCAGGCCTCCCCCTGGTAACTATGCATACGGCCTCACAGGCGACGTAGTGGACGTTTACCAGCGGGAGTTCCTGGCACTGCGCGACCGATTGCACGCGGCTGAGCAGGAGAGTCTTAAGCGCTCCAAGGAGCTCAACCTGGTGCTGGATGAGATCAAGAGAGCCGTGTCAGAGAGACAGGCGCTGCGAGACGGAGAAGGCAATCGCACCTGGGGCCGCCTAACAGGTGAACTGTGCAGAGGGCAGGATGAGGCACACAGGGACTGACAGATTGCAGGCCCACTGTCTGACCAGTTCCTTTCTGATCCACCCAGAGGATCCCCGACTGAAGCCGTGGAACGTCTCGCACAGGCACGTGCTGCACCTGCCCACAGTCTTCCACCACTTGCCACACCTACTGGCCAAGGAGAGCAGTCTGCAACCAGCAGTGCGCGTGGGCCAGGGCCGCACAGGAGGTAGGAGTGTAGTAGCCTAGCAGGGGCAAGAGGCGGGCAGTGAGGAGTCCCCAGCGTCATGCCCACTGTCACCTCTGTGCGCCCCTACAGTGTCGGTGGTGATGGGCATCCCGAGCGTGCGGCGCGAGGTGCACTCGTACCTGACAGACACGCTGCACTCTCTCATTTCTGAGCTGAGTCCGCAGGAGAAGGAAGACTCCGTCATCGTGGTGCTGATCGCCGAGGCGAGTGGTCTAGGGCGTGCGGGTGAGGAAGGTATAGAGGGAAGACCCAAGATTCCAAATAACCAGAAAAGAAGTAATAAATAAAAGCAGAACAACATCCTGGAGGAAAAAACTACCAGAAGTTTCATTCACAAATTTATCAAAACAAAGTTAAGACAAAAGAAGCATTTTAGCGCCCCCTCGTGGAGATGGCCTGTTATTGGTTCCATTCACCCCACTCTATGTCAGCCCCCTATGTATCCCAAAGGGCTTTGCCTAAGGTAACTGCGACTCCCAGCCCTGGCCTTACTTGGCCTTCTGGACAAGAGGCTCATTCCCCCCACACGTGGGGACATCTGAAGTCTGCACCCCTGTCCCTCCTTCCTTCTTCCAGGCCATTAGGGGTGGTAACCAGGCTAAGAGGGTGCTTGGTTTTCCCACAGACTGACTCTCAGTATACATCGGCAGTGACAGAGAACATCAAGGCCTTGTGAGTACTGGAAACCCAAGAAAGCTGGTGAAGGGAAGGCCCTTGGGGTGCTGGGCAGACAGGAGCCTGCCTCCCCCACAAGATGGTGCCTTCCGTCTGTGGGGGAAGATGATTCCCCTGTTGGCTGAGAGAGGGTGAGTGTGTAGGGGTGTCCAAGCCCCTCTGGGGCCTCAGTGCCTCAGTACACTGGTTGTGGTGGTGTGGGAAGGAGAGGGGATGTCTACCTGGTGAGCCCTAACAAAGGGTTGGCTCAGAGGCCCCCTTAGCCCTGGAGGCTACACACCCACTGGGCCTTCCTGCCCCTCTCTCCAGGTTCCCCACGGAGATCCATTCCGGGCTCCTGGAGGTCATTTCCCCTTCCCCTCACTTCTACCCTGACTTCTCCCGCCTCCGAGAGTCCTTTGGGGACCCCAAGGAGAGAGTCAGGTACTTGCCCACTTCCCCCCAACACCTTGGTGGCCCCAACAATCTGTCCACCTGCTGAGAATCCAGCCTGTTGGTATCTGAGTCCAGAGCACTTGTCACCATGTGTCTGTCCTTGGAGGACTGCTGCATGGGGATGGGGGATGGAGGATGGGTCCCTCCCACTCAGTGGCTTCTCTGGTAGTCACACTGGAAGTGAAGGAGTCTCAGGAGCTGAGACCCCTGCCCTCCAACCCACAGGTGGAGGACCAAACAGAACCTCGATTATTGTTTCCTCATGATGTATGCGCAGTCCAAAGGCATCTACTATGTACAGGTCAGCCCTGAGACCCTGTATGCCCCTGCTCTAACCCGGACCTTGGTTGGGCCTGGATGCTTAGCCCTGACCTGCCTCATATCCCTTCCTGCTCTGACTTTGGTTAAACTTGGATGAAGGACCCTGCCCTGCCTGTGTCCATCCTGAGTCCCAAACTTTCATGCAGCTGGAGGATGACATCGTAGCCAAACCCAACTACCTGAGCACCATGAAGAACTTCGCACTGCAGCAACCCTCAGAGGACTGGATGATCCTGGAGTTCTCCCAGCTGGGCTTCATTGGTATGCCAACCCTTACCCAGTCCCACTGGCCTGTCCACAGCCCTTCAATCCTGCCACCCCTCTGCTGTTAGCTCTTAGCTCCAGTATCATGCTGTCATGCTTATGAGCCTTTGTCCAGATTGAGGTGTCCTAGAGTGCCTGCTATAGCCCCATCTGCCCTCTGCATGGGGATGTCTGGGTTCACCATCCTGTCTATCCCCTTATGCCCCCACCTGCCAAAAGCTGTTTCACAGATTTGTAGTGGAACTCTTCCAGTGGCTCTCATAGGAATTAAAGAGGGTCAAGCAATGCTATCCATTCTGTACCCATTATTCCCCACCCCAACCCCACCTCCAGGAAAGATGTTCAAGTCATTGGACCTGAGCCTGATTGTGGAGTTCATCCTCATGTTCTACCGGGACAAGCCCATTGACTGGCTTCTGGACCATATTCTCTGGGTGAAGGTCTGCAACCCTGAAAAGGATGCGGTAAGTAGGGGGTGCACAGAGTGAGGAACAGGAGAAGCTGGGCATTCAGCCAATAGCATTTGACTGTGTTCTCCTCCACATGTCTGATCATGAGGAGATAGCCCTGCTGGCCAGGCCTGCCCTTGGAGTTGGGGCTGAGCTGAACCCTAGGGTGTCGCTCTCCCTTCACAGAAGCATTGTGACCGGCAGAAGGCCAACCTTCGGATCCGCTTTAAGCCGTCCCTCTTCCAGCATGTGGGCACTCACTCGTCACTGGCCGGCAAAATCCAGAAACTGAAGGTGAGGTATACCACATGCTCCTGAGGCAGGGATGGGGATCAGGGTGAAACTCACTCATGCTCAACTCACTGTTCCTCTGTGCCACAGGACAAGGATTTTGGAAAGCAGGCCCTGAGGAAGGAGCATGTGAACCCACCCGCTGAGGTGAGCACAAGCCTGAAGACATACCAGCATTTCACCCTGGAGAAGGCCTACCTACGTGAGGATTTCTTCTGGGCGTTCACACCTGCTGCAGGGGACTTCATCCGCTTCCGCTTCTTCCAACCATTACGCCTTGAGCGGTCAGTGTCAACAGCCACAGGGCCACATTGGGGGAGGGGGCAAGGTGCTGACCTCAGCACAAGTTCCTTTGCCTGCATATGACCCCCAGAAAATTGACCTCACTGTTATCTAACCTCACCATGCCTCAGTTTTTTTTTATCTGCAAAGTGGGGCTCATAACGGTACCTTACTACCTTGTGAGGACTAGTTTAGGCAGTGCCTCTAGGTGATGGTTGTCACCAGATCATTGTCAATGATCATTGTCCCAAGGTAAGGCCCTGGCTGCCTTTTATGGCCCATAGATGGCCTGTGATGGTATCTACCCCCCAGCTCTGGGGCCCACCTACTGCACTCCTGCCCAAGCCTGACCTTTCTCTGCTGAATCGTGGGCAGTGTGTCACCCTTTGCAGCAGCTCACCCATTTGTCTGGCCATGTGCAGGTTCTTCTTCCGCAGCGGGAACATTGAGCACCCAGAAGACAAGCTCTTCAACACTTCTGTGGAGGTGCTGCCCTTTGACGTGAGTGTTCCAGGATGTGGGTGGACACTGAGGCTTGACCCTCTCATGGCAACCACTCCAGCCCCTTGATTTGCCCCCAGAATCCCCAGTCAGAGAAGGAGGCCCTGCAGGAGGGCCGCTCAGCCACTCTTCGTTATCCTCGGAGCCCTGATGGCTACCTTCAGATAGGTGAGTAAAGGACAGTGGGGGCTGGGGGGGGGCATCTGGCTGGGCTGAACATGCAGGCCCTGTTTAGGCTGAGTGTTAGGTTTTGGCATGTTTACTTCTCAGCACTGCCCTCCCCTAGGCTCCTTCTACAAGGGTGTGGCAGAAGGTGAGGTAGACCCTGCCTTTGGACCCCTGGAAGCACTGCGTCTGTCCATTCAGACTGATTCCCCAGTGTGGGTCATTCTGAGTGAGGTAAGCCAGGGCAAGGTGCAGGGAACAGCAGGGAAACCATGACAGAGCCCTGAGCCCTGAGCCCTGAGCCGCACTGACCCTGTGCCCAACTCCTCCAGATCTTCCTGAAAAAAGCCGACTGAGCGAGGGCTTCTGAGGGTGCTCTGTGGCCAGCCCTGAAGCCCATGTGTCCAAGGATGTTGTCGTTGCTGCCCCCGGAGGGCCAGGCGCATCCATCCTGTCCAGAGGGTTCTGTGCAAGGCCTGGGGTCCACCGCTGGCCCGGAGGCCCCAGGAGCTGGTGCTGCCCCTGCCCGCCGGCCGCGGGAAGAGGCAGGCGGCCCCCACACTGTGCCTGAGGGCTGGCCCACTGGCTGCCCGCCGGAACTGTTCACACCCAGCCAGCTGGCTTGGGCCAGGCCGTTTTAGAAGAGCTTTTTCTTGGGCGCCCACTGTCTCTGGCGCGAACACTGGAATGCATATACTACTTTATGTGCTGTGTTTTTTATTCTTGGATACATTTGATTTTTTCACGTAAGTCCACATATACTTCTATAAGAGCGTGACTTGTAATAAAGGATTAATGAAGTGTGTGCCTCAAATGTGAATGCTCTGAGTTCTGGCCAGGCAACTCCTGGTCTGCCTCTACACTTGCCCAACCTCCAAGGACCCCATTTGCTGGTGGTCAAAGGAAGCCCTGGTACTCAGAGACCCCACCCTGTATGAGTTGCAGTGATGGACTTGATCTCTCAGAGCTAGGCCAAGGGCCCAGCCTTCTGCTGATACATGTCCAGAGCTTCTGCAGCCACTGCTCAATAGGACCTTGCTCAATTCCAGACAGGGTCCTGGCAGTCTAGTCAGTAACTCATTGAGTTCAGGTCCAAGCACCCAAAGCTGCCCCCATCCTAGGAGTAATCCCTTCCTCAAGTATACCCTTTCCCCATATCACTGTAGGCTGGCGTCCCCCTTCCCCTGCTGCCTGTGCTGCCAGCTTTTCCTTGGTGCCTCAAGTTAAAGGTATTCTCCATCCTCTTTATTCCATCTCCTTCATGGTTCTCTGTTCTTGTCCTTGTCTCCTTCTCACTGGCTTCCCTAGTCTCAGACTAGGGTCTTCTTCCCTAAAACAAATGAGCCACCTCCAGCCAACCTCAGGGCACACATTTTAGACCCTGCTTATAAAAACTTTGTGCTCTGCTATCTAGGCCAAAAGTCACTTTTAGAAATGATTTTCCCATAGGCCTTCCTGGTGTCTGGTCCCCCAAAGCACCCTGATGTTTTCTTGAGAAAACCTATTCTTGACTACACTTCGGTTCATGCCCACTACTCTACTGCTCTTGACATGGGGGACACAGTACTGATCAAAAAAAGGGATCTCTGCTCTCATTTGGGGAGAGACTGACCAGTTCTGGTTGTGAAGGCAGTGTGGGGGAAGATGAGGAATTAGGTAGCCAAGGTCAGTGGAAGGGAAAGAAGGCTTGAGGGACACGGGTGAAAAGAACACTAAATGCGTGGGGGCGGGGTAAGGGCTTAGAGGGAAGGGAAGCCCTTTCCTCTGTGGCCCCGTCCATTCCTCTGTGGCCCCGTCCATACCTCCGAGCCCCAACACTACTGCCACCGCCAACGGCTGAATCCCTGCAGGCTTTACAGCCTCTGATGCGCCCCCCCCACACACACACACACACACGACCCAGAAAATGCAGTTGGGGGACCAGTCACGGAATCTTTAATTAGACACTGGGATGCAGGGGTGGGCAACCATCCTTTGCTCCTGGACTCTCTGGCTCTTCCCAACTTTGCCAACCCGCTGTCCTTCCTCTCAAGTCATCATAGGCAGCAGCATCTGGAACCGTCTGAGAAGCGCAGCTTGCAAGGTGGCCGGGAGGAAGTGGAAGAGCAGTCCGAGGGCAGCCAGCGCCACAAGCAGCCAGAGCGCGTGAGCGCTCGCGTACAGGGGGGCCAACCTGCGGGCCAAGCTCAGCGGGTGCAGGAGGAGGCTCCGCCTCTTTCCAGCTCACGCACCAGACCTGTCCACCCTCTCCGCTCAGGGTTAAGGCACCGCCTGGCGAGCCGTTGGCCAGCTATCTGCCAAGGGCCCGGGCCTTCAGAACCTTGCCCATGAGCGATCTTTCCCCAGAACGGCTTTACTGGGAGTCCCGCCCGGGTTCTCACCTTAGTTGCGCCGAGCGCGCGTAGCCCTGGAAGTAGCGGAGGCGCGCGAACAGGTAGACCAAACCACACAGAGCTGCCGCGCCTGCGAGAGTGACAGGTGTGCTTGCTGGCGCTGGGACCCCAGGGGACCCACTGCAGCGCCCATCTCCTGCCCCCAGACCTTCGTGGAAAAAGATGCCAGCGACCCAGAGCATTGCGAGGAACAGCGGGAAGTACTCGCTGCAGTTAACCCTGTGGAGGAGGCGGGGTAGATGAGACCGCCGGTCTGGTTGGTCCTCTGACCCTAATCCGCCTCATTCTCGCTACTCTCTCCGCGTCCTCCCTCCGCTCCTCACTGGGCTCGGTAGACGCGCTCGAACTCAGGCGGACCGGTGGTAAGCGGCGGGGACACGCGGAAAGCCCTGCGCGCCCAGATCACCTGCAGAGAGAAGTAGGCTGGGAGCAGAGGGGAGGCCAGAGTCAGGTCTGGACGCCCCGCAGACTTGTGAGGATGCCTTCTCTTGTCTCACCCTGCACTTTCCCTTCTTCACGCAGAACGATTCCCCTCTAACTCCATTCCACGAGAATCTCCTATCAGACCCGTCTGCCGGCTGCATCAAGGATGCTTAATGGGGAGGGCAGGGCTGAAGCTATGGGCAGGGAAAGGCCCTGTCCTTTCTGCCTCGTGAGTGGTGCCATCTGTTGGTGGGAAAGGCCACATGAGACTTTGCTCCTGAACAATTTGACTTGCAAAACTTAGGCAAATGCCCAACTTCTACTCTCTAGGCATGGACTTCAGCTTTCTAGTCTCTGGACAGGAAGTGCCACCGGTGGGCCGGGGTAGGGGGTGGGAGTGATGAGATGTGGGGGAGGAGGCTGAGGTAGAATTAAACTCTATTCCTCCAAATGCAAGGAAGCACACCCTAGTGGCTAAGAGACCATGTTCACTCAAATCACCCAGAAAGGGCCCCCTGATGCTGCTTAAAGCTTGGGTCACTCAAGCCTGTGTCCCAAGGCCTACCAAACTGTGGCATAGGCTCCAGTCTATTTTTCTGTTCAAACATTATGGATTCAACCCTAAATCTTACAGATGCTTCTTTCCTGCTCCCAAGTAATTGCAGCCGGGACTTTCCCAGCCTAACTCCAAGATGCCCAGGAAAGGTGCAGAAGGTGAGCTGGCCATAGGGGCCCTTCTTTTGCAGTGTGGCCCTTCTTTTGCAGTGTGGCCCTTCTTTTGCAGTGTGCAGAGGTCTAGGCCAGGTCCTGACCTCATACACAGGCTTGTCTCCCGGTGAGTTCCATGGCCCTAGTGCCTTTGGTGCCAGGCCCTTTGTAGACATATCCCATTCCAAGTGTACTGTGGATGCTAAGGGGTGACCATGCCAGCACAATGTAGATTATGGAGCTAAACCTGTGGCTACTTGAGAAGAAGTTGGGGACCCATCTTGTTTGTGATGCTAGAGGTCAAGTTGACCTGCCTGTTTAGTCCTTTCAGGACCTCAGCACAGACTGTGCCATATCTTAGCCCTCATATTGCTGGGGCAATGGTGTCCTCAAGCAGCAGAGATATCTGGCCCAGGAATGTGTCTAAGGCCAGTCTGAGAAAAGCATCAAAGTCAGGCACCTTTCGGGGTCTAGGGAGCAGGTTTCAATCCTGTCCAGGTCTGCATGGTCCCAGTGTGGAAGGTGCCTTTGAAGGAAGGGCAAGGGAATGGGCACTTCTTGGGATTCCCAGAGAGGGACACTGGAAAGGGCAGAGATCAGTTGCTCTAAGCCCATGGCCTGCCATCCTCTATACACAAGGGCCATCCTACCTTGGGCCATGGATGGAATTCTTCTCCCAAGAATGAAGGGTACAGTCATGAGTGGTCCCCCCATTCATCTAGGTGCTCTCCCACCCCCAAGTCCTACAGCTCCACACAGTTGGATACCACACTAGGATCCTTTGGGAGTCCTGCCCTCTTCCAGGCTTCTTATGCTGGCTAAGAGGCCACCAACCCCCATCCCCAAGCCAGCACCTAGCATGCCTACTTCAGTTGTCCCTCAGCAGTCTTTTTCCTTTTTGCTGCTTGTCCCCCTTATTCATCCATCCCTCTCAGTGTTGGTAACTGCCCAGAGTTTCACAGCTTGTCCTGCAGACACCCCCCACAGCTTTCCCTTCACTACCTTATGAAAATCCAAGTGAGCCTCTCAACCAGAACTCAGGCCCTAGGGCATGCAAGTCTCCAGTGACTCTGGAAAAGTGTGGGCCTTGGCAATAGGAGCCTAGGCTGGAGGTAACCCTCTGCCCTTCACCCAGGTCTGGGACCCCCACCCCTTTCCCAGGGTCTGGAAGATAGAAGACAAATTGCATGGGTCTGAGGCCTACCCACTTCCAGATAGGAGCCATCCTACCTTGCAGCAGGACTCCCAGGAGGGTAACACTGGCCAGAAGAGCCACCTCGTCTTTCATGGTGCCAGTAGTGGAAGGGCTAGCTGCAGAGTTCTTATCAGCCCGTCTGCTGCTCAGAGGCGGGCCCCAGAGAGGAAGAGCAGCTCAGCACCCACTCCACCCCTTCTCAGTGGAGGGAGGTGCATAGCGGGGGAGTAACCACAAAGGCAGGGAGCCTAGGCTAGCTGGAAGGGCGGAAGCCAGAACTGGGGACAGTCTGGCCACTTCTCTAGTTCTTCTTGCCCCTTCCATGACTGGTTCTGTGCTGACAGAGCCCAAGCTGTCCACTCAGGCCTGCTTCAGCGCTGGGTTATGTCCAGTTATTTTGTTCCCCCACAGTTTTTCCCTTGCTCTGCACCCTTAGCTGGTCCCAGATGGCCCTTCAGACTCCCCCTTCTTCCCAAGTCCTAGACTCCAGGCTCCCAGGCTCCCAGCCCTGATTCCCCCACCCACCCATACCCACACTTACCTATTTCTCCACCTCTAACCAGGGCTGTTCAGTAGTGTACAACCTTAAACAACAATGACTGTAACTTTCCCAGCTTCCTCTGGCCTCATAATGAAGTCCAAGTGCCCCCAGTCACACTAGGCCTAGCCATGTTCTTGCTCCTTTCAGGTAACATCATGCCTGCCATCCTGGTAGCCTCTATGCACAAGGGCCATCCTACCTTGGGCCATGGAGGGAATTCTTCTCCCAAGGCCTCCTGGCTGGCAGGGTGGGTCTTCTTACTTGGGAGTCTCTGACCCCAAGCAGTCATCTGGCTTTTTCTGCCCAGCATCCCAGTTAGCTCAGGATAACATTTCTCACTTTTCTGAGGCCCCAATCCTCCCCACACTTCAGTCCTGTGATCTGGACAGAACTGACTCTTGCCCCTCCCAGGCCTTGAGATGGACAAGTGAGCCAAAACTGTGAGCCAGCCAGGCACAGTGGTGTGTATCTGTAATCCCAGAGGCTCGGAAGGCTGAGACAGGAGAATCACAAGTTCAAAGCCAGTCTCAGCAACTTAGCA